TCTCCAAATTTAATATTTCTAATCATCTGAAAATTACCAGAGTACTAGTAGGGACTGAGCCCTACTCAATCTTGAAGAATGGAGAATTTTATTTCAATTTTTAAGTAGTAGCACCCTCACCCGTACGCCATCAGACAATCAAAATTTGGTAAAAACGAAAATAAAAATTTTTTTTCTCCAAATTTAATATTTCTAATCATCTGAAAATTACCAGAGTACTAGTAGGGACTGAGCCCTACTCAATCTTGAAGAATAGAGAATTTTATCTGAATTTTTAAGTTGTAGCAGGTCCACTCGTACGCCATCAGACAATCAAAATTTGGTGAAAACGAAAATAAAAATTTATTTCTTCCAAATTTAATATTTCTAATCATCTGAAAATTACCAGAGTACAAGTAGGGACTGAGCCCTACTCAATCTTGAAGAATAAAGAATTTTATTTCAATTTTTTAGTAGTAGCACCCTCACCCGTACGCCATCAGACAATCAAAATTTGGTAAAAACGAAAATAAAAATTTATTTCTTCCAAATTTAATATTTCTAATCATCTGAAAATTACCAGAGTACTAGAAGGGACTGAGCCCTACTCAATCTTAAAGAATAGAGAATTTTATTTCAATTTTTTAGTAGTAGCACCCTCACCCGTACGCCATCAGACAATCAAAATTTGGTAAAAACGAAAATACAAATTTATTTCTTCCAAATTTAATATTTCTAATCATTTGAAAATTACCAGAGTACTAGTAGGGACTGAGCCCTACTTAATCTTGAAGAATAGAGAATTTTATTTCAATTTTTTAGTAGTAGCATTCTCACCCGTACGCCATCAGACAATCAAAATTTGGTAAAAACGAAAATAAAAATTTATTTCTTCCAAATTTAATATTTCTAATCATCTGAAAATTACCAGAGTACTAGTAGGGACTGAGCTCTACTCAATCTTGAAGAATAGAGAATTTTATCTGAATTTTTAAGTTGTAGCAGGTCCACCCGTACGCCATCAGACAATCAAAATTTGGTAAAAAGGAAAATAAAAATTTATTTCTTCCAAATTTAATATTTCTAATCATCTGAAAATTACCAGAGTACTAGTAGGGACTGAGCCCTACTCAATCTTGAAGAATAGAGAATTTTATTTAAATTTTTTAGCAGTAGCACCCTCACCCGTACGCCATCAGACAATAAAAATTTGGTAATAACGAAAATAAAAAATTTTTTCTCCAAATTTAATATTTCTAATCATCTGAAAATTACCAGAGTACTAGTAGGGACTAAGCCCTACTCAATCTTGAAGAATAGAGAATTTTATTTCAATTTTTTAGTAGTAGCACCCTCACCCGTACGCCATCAGACAATCAAAATTTGGTAAAAACGAAAATAAAAATTTATTTCTTCCAAATTTAATATTTCTAATCATCTGAAAATTACCAGAGTTCTAGTAGGGACTGAGCCCTACCCTATCCTAAAGAATAAACAATTTTACCTCAATTTTTAAGTAGTAGCAGGTCCACCCGTACGCCCTCAGACAATCAAAATTTGGTAAAAACGAAAATAAAAATTTATTTCTTCCAAATTTAATATTTCTAATCATCTGAAAATTACCAGAGTACTAGTAGGGACTGAGCTCTACTCAATCTTGAAGAATAGAGAATTTTATCTGAATTTTTAAGTTGTAGCAGGTCCACCCGTACGCCATCAGACAATCAAAATTTGGTAAAAACGAAAATAAAAATTTATTTCTTCCAAATTTAATATTTCTAATCATCTGAAAATTACCAGAGTACTAGTAGGGACTGAGCCCTACTCAATCTTGAAGAATAGAGAATTTTATTTCAATTTTTTAGCAGTAGCACCCTCACCCGTACGCCATCAGACAATAAAAATTTGGTAATAACGAAAATAAAAATTTTTTTCTCCAAATTTAATATTTCTAATCATCTGAAAATTACCAGAGTACTAGTAGGGACTGAGCCCTACTCAATTTTGAAGAATAGAGAATTTTATCTGAATTTTTAAGTTGTAGCAGGTCCACCCGTACGCCATCAGACAATCAAAATTTGGTAAAAACGAAAATAAAAATTTATTTCTTCCAAATTTAATATTTCTAATCATCTGAAAATTACCAGAGTACAAGTAGGGACTGAGCTCTACTCAATCTTGAAGAATAGAGAATTTTATTTGAATTTTTAAGTTGTAGCAGGTCCACCCGTACGCCAGCAGACAATCAAAATTTGGTAATAACGAAAATAAAAATTTTTTTTCTCCAAATTTAATATTTCTAATCATCTGAAAATTACCAGAGTACTAGTAGGGACTGAGCTCTACTTAATCTTGAAGAATAGAGAATTTTATTTCAATTTTTTAGTAGTAGCACCCTCACCCGTACGCCATCAGACAATCAAAATTTGGTAAAAACGAAAATAAAAATTTATTTCTTCCAAATTTAATATTTCTAATCATCTGAAAATTACCAGAGTACTAGTAGGGACTGAGCCCTACTCAATTTTGAAGAATAGAGAATTTTATCTGAATTTTTAAGTTGTAGCAGGTCCACCCGTACGCCATCAGACAATCAAAATTTGGTAAAAACGAAAATAAAAATTTATTTCTTCCAAATTTAATATTTCTAATCATCTGAAAATTACCAGAGTTCTAGTAGGGACTGAGCCCTACCCTATCCTGAAGAATAAACAATTTTACCTCAATTTTTTAGTAGTAGCACCCTCACCCGTACGCCATCAGACAATCAAAATTTGGTAAAAACGAAAATAAAAATTTATTTCTTCCAAATTTAATATTTCTAATCATCTGAAAATTACCAGAGTTCTAGTAGGGACTGAGCCCTACCCTATCCTGAAGAATAAACAATTTTACCTCAATTTTTAAGTAGTAGCAGTTCCACCCGTACGCCATCAGACAATCAAAATTTGGTAAAAACGAAAATAAAAATTTATTTCTTCCAAATTTAATATTTCTAATCATCTGAAAATTACCAGAGTACTAGTAGGGACTGAGCCCTACTTAATCTTGAAGAATAGAGAATTTTATTTCAATTTTTTAGTAGTAGCACCCTCACCCGTACGCCATCAGACAATCAAAATTTGGTAAAAACGAAAATAAAAATTTATTTCTTCCAAATTTAATATTTCTAATCATCTGAAAATTACCAGAGTACTAGTAGGGACTGAGCCCTACTCAATCTTGAAGAATAGAGAATTTTATTTCAATTTTTTAGTAGTAGCATTCTCACCCGTACGCCATCAGACAATCAAAATTTGGTAAAAACGAAAATAAAAATTTATTTCTTCCAAATTTAATATTTCTAATCATCTGAAAATTACCAGAGTTCTAGTAGGGACTGAGCCCTACCCTATCCTGAAGAATAAACAATTTTACCTCAATTTTTAAGTAGTAGCAGTTCCACCCGTACGCCATCAGACAATCAAAATTTGGTAAAAACGAAAATAAAAATTTATTTCTTCAAAATTTAATATTTCTAGTCATCTGAAAATTACCAGAGTACTAGTAGGGACTGAGCCCTACTCAATCTTGAAGAATAGAGAATTTTATTTTAATTTTTTAGTAGTAGCACCCTCACCCGTACGCCATCAGACAATCAAAATTTGGTAAAAACGAAAATAAAAATTTATTTCTTCAAAATTTAATATTTCTAATCATCTGAAAATTACCAGAGTACTAGTAGGGACTGAGCTCTACTCAATCTTGAAGAATAGATAATTTTATTTTAATTTTTTAGCAGTAGCACCCTCACCCGTACGCCATCAGACAATAAAAATTTGGTAATAACGAAAATAAAAATTTTTTTCTCCAAATTTAATATTTCTAATCATCTGAAAATTACCAGAGTACTAGTAGGGACTGAGCCCTACTTAATTTTGAAGAATAGAGAATTTTATCTGAATTTTTAAGTTGTAGCAGGTCCACCCGTACGCCATCAGACAATCAAAATTTGGTAAAAACGAAAATAAAAATTTATTTCTTCCAAATTTAATATTTCTAATCATCTGAAAATTACCAGAGTACTAGTAGGGACTGAGCCCTACTCAATCTTGAAGAATAGATAATTTTATTTTAATTTTTTAGCAGTAGCACCCTCACCTGTACGCCATCAGACAATAAAAATTTGGTAATAACGAAAATAAAAATTTATTTCTTCCAAATTTAACAATTCTAATCATCTGAAAGTTACCAGAGTTCTAGTAGGGACTGAGCCCTACCCTATCCTGAAGAATAAACAATTTTACCTCAATTTTTAAGTAGTAGCATGTCTACCCGTACGCCATCAGACAATCTAAATTTGGTAAAAATGAAAATAAAAATTTATTTCTTCCAAATTTAATAATTATAATCGTCTGAAAATTACTAGACTTCTAGTAGGGACTGAGCCCTACACAATCTTCTTTTATTAAAATAGTAGATATTAAAAATCATTGAACTGAGGAAAATTTTTGAAAATAATTGATATTAGTCCAAGAATTTTTTTAACATTTTTGAAATAATTAAATTTTGGAGAAGAATTTAATTATTTATTTTGAAAAATTGAAATTTTCTCGTGAATTTTTAAAAATTTTTGAACATAATTGAATTTCTGCGAAGAATTTTATTACTTTTGAAAGTAAATGAATTTCTGAAATCAATTGTAATTTCTCTCAAATTTTCCAAATTATATCGTTCAATTTTTTGAAGTTTTCTTCTTTTCTCAATCAACTTACGGACTTTAAGGACCTTTTTTTAAATAAACTGACTTTTACGGACTTTAAGCAAATTTCCGGACCTTTGCGGAATTTACGGACCCAGTTCGAGCCCTGTTGTAATGAAATATATTTCTCACTGAGGCGTTGAGGATCGAACCGCTGACCCCAAGTTCCACTCATTTCACGTGCCTTAACGACTACGACCATCGCCTATCATTTTCTAAAAAGTATTTTCATTATGTCTCTAAACAGATTTAATATTTATCGTGCAGAATAATTTCGCAATTTTCATTATTTTTATTTTATTAAAGAAGTTATCATTGATTTATTTCACAATGTAGTTTTTGAGTTTGAAAAAAAAGTTAATTTAATTCAGTTGTTCGGCGTGAGGAAATAAATAATAGAACTTGGAATTATTTGTTGACTCGCTTGAGGATGAATAAAAGTTTTTAGGAGATGTAACTTTAGGAAGTGGCCGCAATTGTTTCGATTTCCAAAGCCGATACTCCCTTTTGTTTAATGGGCAAGTAAACGCCGCCGTAAACTTGCAAACCGAACATTGTTATGTTAGAGGTATTCAAAGGATCCGCATCTATAATCTCCTTGCCACGATAGTAGGGCTTGAAATTATCCAAAGGAATTGTTACAGTTGAAAATGTTTCACTTGACATTGGCGCCTGAAATTTCAAATTCGATTAATATAGTCAATTTAATTTTCCAAAATATAATTTCTCCTTATTACTTATTGCATCTTTCTTCTTAATATTATTATGATTTTCATTTATTTCTATTTTTTTTATTATTTTCTATTTTTTATTATTTCTAATTTTTTATTATTTCTATTTTCTTTATTATTTCTAGTTTTTTATTATTTATATTTTCTTTATTTTATTTCTGTTTTTTTATTATTTCTAGTTTTTTATTGTTTTTAGTTTTTCATTATTTCTATTTTTTATTTCTTTTTTTTAATATTTCTATTTTACTACCTATTATTTGTAGTTTTTTATTATTTCCATTTTTTATTATTTCTACTTTTTTATTGTTTCTACTTTTTAATGTTGCAATTTTTTTTTATTATTTCTATTTTTTATTACTTGCGGAAAAAAATTTTTACTTGGAACAACTACAAATTTCACTGCTTTAGCGAAATATTTAGTTGTTTCAATTAAAACTTTCGTTGTTACAGAGAAACTTATAGCTGATCCAGGTGAAAATATTTTTTCCGTGTTTTATTTTATTATTATTTCAATTTTTCTATTATTTCTTTTTTTTATTATTTTGATTTTTTATTATTTCTTTTTTTTATTATTTTGATTTTTTATTGATTTTATTTTTTACTATTTTTATTTTTTATTAATTTTATTTTTTACTATTTTTATTATTTCTGTCTTTTTATTATTTTTATTATTTCTACCATTTTATTTTCTTTATTATTGAATTTTTTTGATGTTTTTTCTCGCAAATGACGTACCGTAAAAAATTGCTCGTAGGAAATATCCTCGTTCGATTGATGACCATTGTGTCTGAGAACAATTTTATAATTCTCATTGTTCCCCTGACCACGGCAAGTGATTTCGATATTTTTAACAGACGATAAATTCCAATTGGTTAGTGTGCGAACACCGGCGAATCCTGCGCCATTTGGTTGTGGATTTAAGAGTGTAAAAAATATTGCCCTTTGAAAAACTTGAGTCCGTTGAAGAACCAGTGTGGCTTTTGATTTTCCAACTGTTCGAACCGAGTCCGAAATTTCCATCCAATTATCAATATTACTCTCAGTCGTGAAATCGAAAAGATTTATTTTATTTCTACAAACAAAAAAAAGAAAAAATAAGAGGATAAGAATAGGAAAATAATAATTAAATGTAGGAAAAGAAATTATGGGGATATAAGAGAATAAGATAAGGGGAATAGGAGAAATAAAGTAAATAATTTTGCGATGGGAAATAAAAATTTTAAATTATCCTCTATTGTTTTGTGTGGAAAAAAATGTATATTTATGTTGCATTAAGGAAGAAAATGCCGGAACATTGAATTTGTGATTAATTTGCATGAAGGGAAATGAAAGTGCAGCTAATCTACAAGTATTTATCATAAACGACTGTTAATTACTGCATAATGGAATTCTTAATATCCTCCTCCTCTGCAACGTTAACGTAGTATTCAAACTCTCTGATCACGTTTTTAGCGTTTGCATTGGTCATTACAAACGACTTGGCACCCTTTTCTAAACTGTTTGCAAAAAAATTATACGCCCGATAAAAAATATTGGATTTCGTATATATACAATATAAACTTTCAGTGAGAAAATACTTCTAGAAATTTTTCAAGAAATACTTTTCGATTCAATTGTAACGAAAAAAAATTCTATGACTCAAAATAGCTTTACGAAAAAAACTTTTTTAAATTTATTTACTTAATTTTGTGAATTATTATTTTATTATTTTCATAATTATTATTTCGATAATTATCATTTTAATGTCCCTGAAATTTTGATCGAAATCCTGGAAAATATTGTTGTTTTCTAAAGTTATTGTGTTTATTCTGAAAATCCAATTTCACTTAAATATTTCAAAATTAATTCAATTTTAAAAGAATTGCGTTTACAATTTTTATATAAGTAGATGAACTTCAAAAGATTTTGATTTAAAATTTTGTAAAATTTCAATTTTAAATGAATTTAATTAAAAATATAAAAAAACTAGGATTTAAAAAAAAAATTTTAAACTAAAATTCTGAAATTATAGTTAAATTTTTTAATATATGATTGATTATTAAAAATAATGAATTTATAGAATTCTTGGCAAAATTTTTATTATTTTCAAAAACATTCCTCAATTATTTTTAATTATTTAATTATTATTTTAATTAATTTAATTAGTTTGATAATTATTTCAATTATTTACAAATTATTTTCATAAATTATTATTCAATTGTTTTCAAAAATAATAAAATTGTTTACAGCGATTCAATTATTTTCATAAATAATAAAACTCAATGCTGAATTTCAATTATTTTTTAAAACAATTTTAATGAAATTCCTCGAAAAATGTAATTACATATTCTTAAAATTTTTTATTAAAATTTATCAAAGAAATTCAATTTTGATACAATTTATTTATTAGAATTTAAGTATTATTTTCAATACATTTTTAATATAAATTCTTTACAGAATTAAATTATTTTCAAAAATTTTAATGAAATTCTTTGCGTGACAATTCAATTTTTGCAAAATAATTTTAATAAAATTCTTCGCAAAAATCCAATTATGTTTAAAAATTTACAAAAACTTTCGTCAAAATTCCAATTATCTCTATAAATAATAAAATTTTTCTCCGAAATTCAATTATTTTCAAAACTTTTAATAAAATTCTTGGCAGAATTTCAATTATTTTTAATAGAATTTTCATCAAATTTCTCGAAAAATGCAATTATTCTTAAAAATTTTATTAAAATTTGTTAAGAGAATTGAATTATTTAAAAATTTGTTGATAAAATTCTTTATCAAAATTCAATTATAAGAAACATTTAGTTGTTTAATAAAATATTTATTTTTATAGTTAAATAATTGAATTCTTGTAGAATTCTCTAATAAATATTGATTTAAAAATGAATTTGAAGTTAAAATCTTTGTAAATTTGAACTTTTTATACTTTTAATTAAGAATTCTATAGAATTAATTAAATTCGTGGCAAGAATGTTATCAAAATTTTTTAATAATAATTGAAATTCTGCGATGGGTTTTATTATTTATGAAAACAATTGAATTTCTGCAAAAGAATTTTTGTAATTTTTTTAAAATGATTCAATTCTTCCGAGAAATTTAATTTAAATTGAAAATAAATAAATTGTTTTAAAGAATTTTATTGACATTTTATTAAAATAATTAATTTTCTAGAAAGAATTTTATTATATATGAAAATAATTGACAACTATTGAGAAAAATTGTGTTATTTACGAAAGTAATTAAATTTTAGTGCCGAATTTTATAATAATTTAATTCTTGCGAAGAATTTTCTAAAAAATTTTTTTAAATAATTGAAATTCTGCGATGAGTTTTATTATTTATGAAAATAATTGAATTTTAGCGAAAAATTTTTGTAAATTTTTCAAAATAATTCAATTCTTCAGATATCTTTATAAATAATAAAATTTTTCTCCGAAATTCAATTATTTTCAAAACTTTTAATAAAATTTTTGTCAGAATTTAAATTATTTTTAATACAATTTTTATCAAATTTCTCGAAAAATTATTTTATTCATTTAATCAAATTTAAAAAATAAATAAAGTAATTAATAATAAGAGTTCAAAAAAATGAATATTTTTCTAATATAATTTACAAAGTAGTGAATAATTCTTTATGAGACTTACCCATTTATAGGTCGTATTAAAGTTGTTCCTATAAATAAACTACTCAGTAGTTGAAAAATCTTCATTATTGTTATCATTTTAAGGAAAATGATAATTTCTCCTTTTCCTGGAAAATAATTGTACATTGTAAATATTCAACATTTTCATTTTAAAAAGTAGATTTTTTTAATGTTACATTAATTTTACATTAATTTTAAAGTTACATTAAGTTAAAATAGTTTACATAATTACAATTTGTAATTTTTATCGAAAAAATACAGAAAATTGTAAATTTTTTCTAGTTGAAAATTAATATACTTTTTATAGAATAAAATAGGAAATTTCAGTATCTGTATAATATTAAATAAATAAATGAAATAAATTAATAAATAAGAAATAAATAAAAATACTTCCTCTATGAGGAAGTAATTAAATAAAAATAATAAGCATAATAAATAAATTAATTAATAAATTAAAAAAATAACAAAAATACAAAATAAAACAAAATAAACAATTAACAAAATAAAAAATTAATTAATAGCGTAATTCATTAATAGTGAAATAATAATTATTTCTTATTATTAAAAATATTAATATATTTTTTATACTGAAACATTAATATAATTTTTATTATTTTGAAATAATGCAATAGAAACGAAATTTTTAACTTTGAAATTTAAAATCTCATTACTTATTCGCACTTATTTAATCGTGAGACGATTAGATGATACAATTTTCCGTATGTAAACAACTATTTTTAAACACTTCACGATAAACTTGAACTTGATTCTAATTTTATAAGAAGGAAATAATTATTTAATGGACAAATTGTTTTATTTTTTAATTATTAATTTTTTAACTGTTTTAATTGATTAATTAATTCCATTTGATATTTATATACTCTATAAGCTGAATATATTGAAACGAATTGTTAACAATCATTCAATAAAAATAGTTTATGCCATCTGTGGGACAAAATAGAATAAGTGTTTATAAAGTCAATTTGTGTGTAATTCACGAATGCGTATAAGCAATAATTACACGTTACACAACAAGTGTATTTATTTTTGTTTCAAATATGTAAATCTACTCTTTATGTTGTTTTAAATTTTATTATGGTTAATTTATTACTTGATTTTTATCGCACTGATTTTATTTGTTGAAATGGGCGTTTTTAGAAATTCAAGTTCATTGAGAAAAAAAAACTTATGTTAATTATTATCGAAGAATGATTATTTTGTTTTTAAAAATGAAGTGAAAATTTGACGCATGCGTGTTTATGGTTCACGTGTTCCTTTGATCCGGTTTCCGGTTTGTAGTGTTTACAAGGTTTACACCCAGTGTTTATTGTGTTGTGCTCTGGAAAAATTATTATTAAGAAATCATGGATTTAAAAAAAGAAAGCGGATCTTTTTCAACGGCACCGGGATTTTGTCCGGATTGCGGAACAATTTTACCATTGTGCACTGAAATTGGTCGAGTCACTTGTTATGCTTGCGAAAGGAAATGGGATCCTGAAGAAGGTTTGTATTTTTAGGTTAGTTCTGTTTCACTGTTTCTGTTTATTTTTTTTTTTCGAGCTGCGTACGATCGATATTTGATGACGTAAATATGGCGCGAATATTTTGAAATACGATTATGATTGAGTTTTTTTGAAAATTACTGTGTTTTAGTAAATTTTGTTCTTTAATTTTATTTTTCGAACTTATTTTTCTCTTGTGTTATTTTGTATTTTTTTCTTGAATTTTCTTGTATTTTTTTTTTGTTTTTTTTTTGTTTTTTCTTGCTTTTTTTCTTTTATTTTTTCTTTTTCCTTTTATTTTTTTTTCTTTTTTCTTTTTTTCTTTTTTTCTTGTTTTTTATCTTATCTTGTTTATATTCTGAAAAACTTTTGATATTTTTTGAAAATTATTTTTCTATCGAAATCATTACATATTTGCTTTAGTAATGATTGATTATGGAAAATTGCAGACTGAATGAATTAAAAGGAAGTTTTTATTCTCGTTATTTTTCCTTTTGTTTCAAGGTTTTAAAAATTGTGTCAATGTTATCTTCTGCCTTATCATTTGCTATTTGATAATAGACAATTTTGATCAGATTGAAAATTCTGAATCTGTATAATTTTTTATATAATTCATTAATTCTCATAATTCTCATTTTTTACTTATATAAATCCCAAATATTTTGGTATTGTATTTAATTATATATTTAAATTTCTATGTTAATATAATTGTAAAAAATTTTCAAAAAAATGTAAAAAAGGTTATAAAAAATTGTATATAATTTAATTTTTTTTGTTCAATTCAATTAAAATATTTTTATTTTTATTTAGTTTAAAATTTAGTCTAAATTTTTAATTTAATTTCAAATTTAATTTAATATTTAAAAATTGAAGAACAAGTTTTATTAAAATACATTTTGTAGGATTAATAAATTGAAAAATTTAAATTTACTTGTGTTTATTATTATACTAGTAATATAATTAATTAAATTATTATTTAATAAATAAATTTAGTAAATAAATTTTAATAATGATGATTAATTTATAAATATTAGTAATGATAATTAAAATTTGTTGTAAAATAAAAAAAGAATTTGTTTTTTAGTTTTCGGCAAAATGGATATTTCTTATCAAGTTAAATTTAGGGACAGAAGTACATTAAATGCAAAACGTGGCGATGAGGAAGAAGATGACGAACCTGAAGGACCAATCGTTGAACGACAATGTCCTCAGTGCAAAAATAATAAAATGTCCTATGCCACTTTACAAATGCGCTCAGCTGATGAAGGACAAACGGTATTTTACACCTGTACAAAGTGCAAGTGAGTATTCTTTCAGCAAAAATAAAAAAATAAAATCTAAAATTGAAAATTTCTTTATTTAAAATTAAAATTTTATTTTTTAGGTTCAAGGAAACTGAAAATTCGTAAAAGACTTGGGATTTACCTGGACAATTTTCTTCTTTATATTACGAGATAAGGAACACGAGAAGTAGAAAATAAAAGATATTTTTTTTATTATTAAAACATAGAGTTTTATTTTTTTTAATACACTCAACAAATAATTGATAGTGAATTTTTTTTTCAAGCAACTTTTGCAAAACTACGAGTTTAATTCGCACAAGTTTTCTCGCAACAACATTTTCTCTACAATCAGTTATACAATTAATTAAGTAATCTTTATGTACAATTGAGTTCAAGATTTAAGAATTATTATTAACAATCATTTCAATAAATTCACTTTGATCCACCTTTAAAATTGCTCGCAGTGGTCCTTGATTTACAAAAATTTTTTTTTTATATATATAATCTTTAAAACGTGATAGTTGCATATTTACACTACTGTGCATTCTTTTTTTTATTATTACTATTATTTTTATTATTATTATTATTATTTTTATTATTATTATTAAATGACGTGACTTATATTGTTAACAATTTGTAAGATATGCTATTCTAAAATTACAAAAGAAAATTTCAATCACATTTTGTTTTTGTACAGAAATAAGAGTGAAAATTAGTAAATGTACAGTCGAACCTCGATAAGAGGAAAAAAAAAATGGAGAAGAGGGAAATGTTTAAGGGAGCAAAAATATTTTTGAAAGTTCTGAACGTTTTGAAAACTTAAAAATACTTTTACTGACTGCAGTAAAAATTGATTTTCGGGGTAAAATGAAACGGAGAGATATTTTCGTCTTGACGAGGTTTTACTGTATTTTATTCTCGAGGATTATTTAAATTGAGAAACGGAGTACTAGGAAAAATTATTAAAAAGTAGTAATTAATAATAATGCTAATACAATGATATAATTAAAATTAGATTCGTAAGAAAAAGTATCGTTGATTGTAAAAATAATTATAATACAATAATCTTCGTTTATCTAATACTCGTTGCCTCGCACAAGAGAAATATTCCTTCAAAATTATCGAGAGTGAGAGGAAATTTCTTCACCAAAAAAAATATTAATTTTTGTTCGTGAATTTTAATAGAGTATTCTATATATAACTGAGTTACGTAAAATATATTATCATACTTTAATGAAAATTGTTCTTGAAAGAATATATATATATATATTATATATGTATAACCAACAGAAGCAAGTATAGGATCAGTTATTCGAAAGATTGCAAGTTTATACCTTTCCTTTCCCTTGTGTGCTTCTATATAAAATTACTCCTTAAGTAACAAAGTTTCCTCATAAAATAGCTGGTTTTAAAAAACTTGTTCACGTACTAAAAAGTGTCTAACTCGTAAATAAGTACAAACTCTAATAATTTTAGGTCGTTACGATCAGGTATTCGAAATCGATTGATTTCATTTGATCTTTTGAGTATAACAAAAGGAGTTTTTTTTTCTTTTCTTTATTTATAAATATCTGTTTATATCTCTCTCTTTTTTTATTTAATTATTTTTTCTGTTAAATATAAAAACAACTTTAAATCCAATTGTTACACTCGACTTGGCACATTTAATCACGACGATCTTTGTCGTTATTAAAAATTTTTTTCTTTCATATTTACAAGAACACGCACAATATTACAATTCTTTTTTTTTGTACATAAACTATGTACATTTGGCAAAAATTTTTATTATTTACAAAATATGATTGACAATGTAAATTCCTAATAATCTTCAATAAAAATGCGTTGATCAGGAGGATGTTTCGAAACATTCGTCGAGGAAATTTTCCAAAGAGTGATAGAGATGAAAGCGTGATTGAGCGATTCCGTGATCTTCGTCCGTGTAGGTCTGTAATATAGTGGATAATATTTTTTATATTGAATAAATATTATTTTGTTAATAAAAAATTTTAATTATAGTAAAATTATGCAAATTACAACATTTTGATAAAATTTCATGAACGGATTCATTTATTTTTAATGCAATTTTATTCAATATTTTTGAAAGAATTCAATTTTTTTTCTAAAATTTTAATACATTCTTCTAAACAATTCAATTATTTTTAAAAATAATGAAATTATTCGCCAGAATTCAATTATATTTATAAATAATAATATACGGAAGAATTCAATTATTTAAGAAAATTTTTAAATTAATTTTTTCGAAAGAATTTAATTATTTTCTAAAAATGTAATAAATTCTTGTAAATAATTTAATTATTTTCTAAAAATGTAATAAATTCTTGAAAATAATTCAACTATTTTCTAAAAATGTAATAAATTCTTGAAAATAATTCAATTATTTTTAGAAATAGTGAAATTCATCGCAAGAATTCAATTATTTTCTAAAAATAATAATATTCTTTGGAAGAATTCAATTATTTTTAAAAATAGAACAATTCTTCTCAAGAATTAAATTTTTTTTATAAATAATAACATTGTATGGAAGAATTCAATTATTTTTTAAAATCTTTAATAAAATTTAATAATCAAAATTTTAATTATAATTATTAATATTAACAGACACAATTATTTTGAAAACTTGAAAAAAATTCAATTATTTTGAAAATTTTCAATTAAAATTATTCAAAAAACTTAATGAAAAGTCTTCTAAAGAATTTAATTGTTTACAATAACTCTAATGAAATTGTTTAAAAGAATTCAATTTTTTATTCATTATTTTAATAGAATTTAATAGTAAAATTCTTAATTACACATTATGTATTAACAAAATCGATTATATTAAAATAATTAAAAATATTGTTCGAAAGAATTCAAAATTGTTTTTAATATTTGAACAGAATTCTTTTAATGATTTAAATTATTTGGAAAAATTGTAAAAAAAAATTCCGAGAAGAATTTAATTATTTTCTATAAATTTTTAAAAAATTCAATCAAATGTTTAATTTTAATTATTAAAAAAATTATTAAAAATTTTTAAAAATAAATTAATACAATTCTTCGAAGAATTAAATTATTTTCATGAATAACATCATTTTTTCGCAGAAATTCAATTATTTTTTTAAAATAGTAAAATACTTTCCAAGAATTAAATTCTTTTTACAAATATTAAAATTCTTCTCAGTAATTCAATTATTTTCTTAATTTTCCATTAAATTTAAAAAAAAACTGCATTGTTTTCAAAAAACTTACAGAAATTCTTCAAAAGAATTCAATTATTTTTATAAATAGTAAGATAATTTCCAAAAATTAAATCATTTTTACAAATATTAAAATTGTTCTCAAGAATTCAATTATTTTCTTAATTTCCAGTAAAATTATTAGAAAAACTACATTGTTTTCGAAAAACTTAAAGAAATTCTTCAAAAGAATTCAATTATTTTTAATTTTTTAATAAAATTTCTTCAATTAATTAAATAATTTAAAAAATTGTTAGTAAAATTCTGAGACAAATTTAATTATTTTCTTAAAATTTTATAAAAACTTGAAAGAAATTCTTCTCAGGAATTCAATTATTTTTTTAATTTTCCATTAAAATTATTTAAAAAACATTGTTTTCAAAAAATATAAAGAAATTCTTTAGGAGAATTTAATTAGGATTTTCAAAAATTTTAATACAATTATTTGAAGAATTCAATTATTTTCATAAATAATATCATTTTTTCAAAGAAATTCAATTATTTTTATAAATTGTAAAATACTTTCCAAAAATTAAATCATTTTTACAAATATTAACATTCTTCTCAGGAATTCAATTATTTTCTTAATTTTCTATTAAAATTATTTAAAAAACTACATTGTTTTCAAAAAACTTAAAGACATTCTCCAAAAGAATTCAATTATTTTTAATTTTTTAATAAAATTTCTTGAATGAATTAAATAGTTTACAAAATTGGTAATAACATTCTCAGACTAATTACTTTTTAAGAATGTTAATAAAATTTAATCAAATGTTTAATTTCAATTATTAACAAACTCGATTATTATAAAAACTTGAAAGAAATTCTTCATAAAATTCAATTACATTTTAAATTTACAATTAAAAATGTTTAAGAAACTCTAGTGTTAAAAAAAACCAAAGAAATTCTTTAGAAGAATTTAATTAGGATTTAAAAAAATTTTAATAAAATTCTTTGTAAGAATTCAATTATTTTCATAAATAATAAAATTCTTTAAAGGAATTCAATGTTAATTAATTAATTAATGAACTAATTTATAATTTGAAAACATTTAAAGAGAAAAATTATTAAAAATGATTGAAAAAGTTAGAAAACAAAGAATGCAAAAAAATAAAAAAATAAAAACTACGTTCAAACTGCGATCAGATTATCGGAGTACAACTATTATATTAATATGGAAGATTTAACAAATTTTTAAAATTATTTTATGTAAATTTTATTACTTAATATTTAGATACTAAATATTTTTTGGAGATTTGGTTATTTTTTTTTTTGAGGAGGGATTTTTACCTGTTGTCGGAATAAGATATCTTTTTGCTCGAGCACTTTGGCAAGCATTAATGATTGTTGATAGTGAACGTTGTCATCGAAAGTGCCGTGAATTAAATAGTAGCCCTTTGTCTTAAATCCACTCTCCTTATCGACTTTTTTAAGCAATTGTGCTTCCTCATAGCCCTTTAAATTGTCAGCCGATGATGGTAAACCCATAAACCTCTCAGTATAAATTGAATCTGTAATTAAAACAAGTTATTAATTATACGAACCAACAGCTAACGCGAGCAATGTTACGTAAGTGCGCGAGATTAATGAGTTTGTTGGATAACAAAGGAGTAAAATTCGCTTTTGACACAGTACCAGTAGCGTCTGGTAATTATCACGAATACAAGACACACTGCGCTTTCAAAAAGCTTTTCTTCTGTCATCTAAATTAATGTCTAACAACCAAAAGTTTCATGCTTGATTACAAAAGAGATAATGAATTATGTCTCATTTATATTTTCCCTCTATAAATCTTTTTTGTGTTCTCTTTTTTCGTCCATCAAGCACTCAATCGCAAAATCAAAGAGAATTTTTATTCTGCTCCACTGAGATTCTAATTTTTATTCAAATGAGGGAATATTTTCTAATTCTGAATTTTTCATGGAATTTGAATGTAATTTTTCGTGGAAGAAATTTTTTTTTCTAAGTCAATTTTAGAAAATAGTGTAAATTTTACCATTTACTCTGTTAATTTTTTTAATAAACAAAATAATTTTTTTCATAAAATCCAAACGAGACAAATAATAATAAAAATATTGTAGATCAGTTGAACGAACTAATTATTAGGGATTTAAAATTTTCAAAACAAAAATTATTACCTAAGTTCTTGATGCATTTATATTACGATTATTATTGCATCATTAATTATTATTAAAATTGTTAAAAAATAGTTAAAGAAGAAAGATATAAATTAATAATAAAATAATAATAAAAATAATAAAATTCGTTAAATTATTTAATTATTTTCATAAATAAAAAAATTTTCATAGAAATTCAATTAATCAAAATATTTTATATTAAATATTCAACAGGAATTTAATAATTTTTAAAAATAATAAAATTCTTCGCCAAAATTCAATTATTTTCTTAAATAATAAAATTCATCTCCGAATTTTAATTATTTTTAATGCAATTTTATTAAATATTTTTGAATGAATTCAATTATATTTTAAAAAATTTCAATAAATTCTTTGAAACAATTTAATTATTTTTAAAAATAGTAAAATTCTTGTCAGGAATTCTTTGTAACAATTCAATTATTTTTAAAAATAGTAAAATTCTTCGCAAGAATTCAATTATTTTCTTAAATAGTAAAATTCTTCTCAGTAATTCAGATATATATACTTTTTAATATTTTTAATGAAATTTTTCGAAACAATTCAATTATTTTCTGAAATTTAAATTAATTTTTCGAATTAATTTAATTATTTTTAAAAATAGTAAAATGCTTCGCCAAAATTCAATTATTTTCATAAATTTTTAAATTCTTCTCAGGAATTCAATTATTTTAAAAAAGTTTTAATAACATTTTTCGAAAGAATTCAATTATTTTCCAAAATTTTAATAAATTCTTTGTAACAATTCAATTATTTTTAAAAATAGTAAAATAATCTTACTGTTTTTAAAAATCCTTGAATTATTCTTCGCAAGAATTTAATTATTTTTTTAAATAATAAAATTTTCATAAAAATTCAATTAATTAAAATATTTTATATAAAATTGTTATCAAGAAAAAAGAAATATTAAAATTTTTCATGAGAATTGAATAATTTAGAATAATTTTAATAAAATTCTTTTCAAGAATTCAATTATTTTCTTAAATAATAAAATTTATTGCCAAAATTAAATTATTTTCTTAAATAATAGAATTCATCGTTAAATTTTCATTATTTTTAATGGAATTTTATTAAATATTTTTGAAAGAATTCAATTATTTTAAAAAATTTATAATTATTTTTTAATTATCTTTAAAAATATTGAAATTCTTCGCAAGGATTAAATTATTTAAAAAAAATTTTAAATTCTTCTCAGGAATTATTTTTAACAATTCAATTATTTGTAAAAACAGAAAAATTCTTCTCAGGAATTCTTCTTAACAATTCAATTATTTTTAAAAATAGTAAAATTCTTCTCAAGAATTCAATTATTTTCTTAAATAGTAAAATTATTTTTAAAAATAGAAAAATGTTTTGCCAAAATTCAATTATTTTCAGAAATAATAAAATTTTTTCAAGAACTCAATTATTTTCTTAAATAATAAAATTCTTCTGAAGAATTCAATTATTTTCTTAAGTAATAAAATTTTTAGGCAAGAATTCAATTATTTTCTAAAATAATAAAATTATTCGCAGGAATTCATTTATTTTTTCAGAATTCTAATAAAATTCATCGCCAAAATTCAATTATTTTTTTAAATAATAAAATTTATCTCAGAATTTCAATTATTTTTAATGCAATTTTCAATGAATTCCTCGAAAAATTCATCTATTCTTAAAAATTTAATTAAATTTTTTTTGAAAGAATTGAATTATTTTTAAAAACGCTGATAAAATTCTTTATAAGATTTTAATTTTCTTTCTATTTTCAATAGAAATATTCAATAAATTGTTGTTCAATAAATTATTTATTTTTGTATTTAAATAATTGAATTTTCCTTTTTGATTTTTAATGAATTGAAATCTTTGAAAATTTTAATTGTTGTAAAACTAATAATTTTTTATTTTTTTTTTAAATTTGATTAATTTATTATTTTTTAAAAGATTATTGGCGTCTTGAATAAATTTATTTTTAAATTTCAACATTAAATTTATTTAATTTTTGAAGAATTACAGTTGTAATTGCTAGAAATAGTTGAATTCCAAAACGTTTTTTAAATTGAAGTTATTTAAAAATTTAAAATATTTTTAATTTCTGTAGAAAAATAATTAAGTATTTAAATATTTATTTAAGAAAAGTTATTCAAGTTTTGAATGTAATTTAATTTGGAAATTATGAAGAAAATTAGTATTTTGAAAAATTGTAATTAAAATTTTTCGAAGATAGTAAAATTTTCGTAAATTATTTACAAAGATTAATTTAAATTTCCGATTAGAGAATTTTGTTAAATTTAATTAAAATAAATTTTATATTTTAAATAGTTTTATTTTTTTTTTAAATTTTTAATGTAATTTATCTTTTCGATAGCTCTTCTTTTCAGTCTTAACGCTACTTTTTTAAAATTAATTTATCGAGTACGAAGCCTGGAACCTCGATAATGATTTTTTATTACGATTGTTATTTGTCTCATTAATTATTATTTAAATATTTATTTATTATTATTATTTAATTATTTATTAAAATTGTTAAAAAAATAGTTGTAGGAGAACAATATAAAATCGAATTATAATTTTTTTTTTTGAAAATTAGAATTTATTTGGAAGATGATTTACCGTAAAGTGCCCAATCAGTTACGGGAGCAACTGACATTCCGCATTTGAAAACATCAGTTGTATCAGTGACTAGAGCCATTCCTGCCGCATAACCACCATAACTCCATCCCCATATTGCAGTTCTTCTTCGATCGATGAACGAGAACTTCTTCTTAAGATACCTTGAAGCAAAACAATTTTTCTTATATTCAGTATGAAATTCCGCACGCATTGTATCTACGATTCTTTTTTTATTGACAAAAAGAACTTCTTTTCTAAATCAATAAGAGAGAAGTTTGAAATAAATTTCAGCTTTTTATTTTTCCATATAAATCAAAACAAAAGGGAGAAATTTTTAAGTCAAGTGTTCATAAATAGTTGACGAGTTTTACAATCCGCTATAAAACATTCTTTCCTGTTTGATATTGGATAAATTCACTGATGTTTGATTTAGTGTGAATTCGTAATAAAAATAAATATAAGGGGGAGAGAAAAAGTTTTAAAAGAGTCATTTAAAATGTTTTTTTTTTATGTTATTAAACTTTGTGCTTAGGAAAGAAATTTCTTTTTGTTCAATGTGCTCTAGAAAATATTTTCTTAAAAAAAGTTTTTGGGAAGTAATTGGAAAATTTTCCCCTTTTGGTTACAATTCATCTATAAAGAGAGAGAGGGATGAAAAAAGGAAAAGTTTTTTTTTCTCTCTTTTACCCTGTGAGATATTCTTTGCTTTCTTCTAATTTAATTTTGCCTAGGTCAAGCAGTAGTAAGTTTCAATTCTGGTCGATTTTCTTATATTACCCTTTATAACGAGTTTAAACTTTAAATTGGATTTTACGTTCATTTTCCAACTAAATCTTCGAGGTTTGCTTTTTTTCACCACGCTTTGTTTACTGATTTTAATTTTATGAGTTATGCCTAAACTTTTAAAGACTATAAATTTTAACTGCCAGAAGATGGAAAATAAAAGTGAACATGACTTTTATAATCGTGCAAATTTAGAAGTTTCTCTGCACTCTAATTCTAAATTATTAAAGTTGTTCACTAATTAAAATTTGAGAACAAAAAAATCAGTAAAATTGGTGGAAAACCAATTTTACTGATTTCTTTTTCTCAAACTTTAATTAGTGGACAACTTTAATAATTCACTCGAAATAAGAGAAAAATTACTTTGGTGAAGTTTACAAGATTTCTAATGTTGCGATTGAAATAAATAAGTAATCAACAATTTAGAAGAAAAAATAATTTTCTATTAAAAATTTTTTTTTAATTTTTCTTGATTATGGAAAAATTTGCAAAAGAAAACAGAAAATTCGTAAACGTAAAATATTGTTTTCTGAGTAAAAAAAAAATTGTTTTTCTTCCAATCGTTAATGATAAACGTCGTGATCTTCACACACGTAAGAATAAGTTTTTAAAAATAATTAGAGTAATTAAAATAATTCAACGAGAAAGCAAAAAAATGTTATTTGATTCAAATAAACGATTAATTTTCTATTGTTAAATAAATATTTATTTGTACCAAATAATTTTTTTCTGATATTAATTAAATGTTTCTTTGTATCAAATAAATTTTATTGCATTGCATTGCATTTTATTGAAGCATTTACTTCAAAATACTGAAATTATTGGACCAAATGCCTACAAATTATTTAATTATCAAATGGTACTTTAATTAAATTCATTTAAACTAATTCATTTATTAAATTTTATTGAATTACTATTATTTAAATAAACTGTTATTATTTTATTAAAGTTAATTATTTAATTAAATGTTATTTACTTCAAATACTGAAATTACTTATTTAATTAAATTTAAATTATCATTTAAATAGAAATAAAATCTTTATTTGTATCAAATAATTTTTATTGGAGTTATTAAATGGTGTTTACTTCAAATACTGAAATTATTGGACCATATACGTGCAATTTATTTAATTATTAAATGGCAATTTAATTAAATTTATTTATTTATTAAATTTTACTAAATTATTATCTTGATGAAAATTATTTTTTTAATTAAATGGTATTTACTTTAAACACTAAAATTACTGAAACAAATACAATTCTTTTGATTTAAATAAAAATAGAAATTTTAATTATTTGATTCAAGAAAATATTTATTTGATAATAAACAAGTAAAATCCAAAGAAAATGGAATCCAAAAAAGGTAAAAAGAAAAATAGTTTTACTTTGGACTTAATTTTTGAATTTTTTGTCCTGGTCAAAAAGTCCAAAGTAATTAAAAATCGAATAAAAAAAATGAGGTATAAAAATTTAAGTGGCTGCCTTGAATGAAATTTTCCTTTTTTTTTTTGAGTTGCACATTTCGATGACTTTGAATCGAATGTATTTAAATTTCTGAAAATAATTAAATTAATCGAGTAATTTAATTGAAATTATATTTAAAAAAGATCATTGAATTTTTTCAAAGAATTTTATCAAAATTGCTGAAATTTTTTTATTTAAGAAAATAATTAAATTATTGTAAAGAATTTTTTTGACATTTATGAAAATAATTGAATTTCTGTGAAGAATTTTTCTTTTATGAAAATAATTGAATTTTTGTGAAGTATTTCATTATTTATGTAAATAATTAAAATCCTGCGATTTTAAATATTAACATTTTAAATTCCGATTTTATAGAGTAAAAATTAAAAACGTGGCTTTTTCACATGTTTCATTATTTATTTTGGACGTTTTTATTTATTTTGGCGTTTTTGACTTTGAACATTTTTATTTTCGATTTTTTGTACTTTGGACTTTTTTTTTTATGTTTAGGTCTAGATTTTTTAGATTGGATTTTTTTTTCTGTAATCATAATAATTTATAGAAAATGTGTAAAAAATTCTTTTTTAATGTTAAATAGAAATGTAGAGTAGAAACAAAAGTTTATTAAAATTACAAGAGAAATATTTTAAATCGGAAAGAAAATATTGAAAGACGGAAATAAAAATTCGCGCATGATTTGCATGAACGGAAGTCGGAAGTTGATATTTTTTTTTCTTTACAATATAAGTCTCAACATCCTTCTATCATGTTCAATATCCTCTGGCATTGTCGAGCATAAGAAAATTCTTCTGTTCTCGTTGTGGTCGCGTATGGAATTTTTTTCCCGATGATAGATTTTTTTATTTACAGTGAAACCTCAATAATTTGGAAAAAAATCTTTTTTTTTTATTTAAAAATTTGATTTTCTTTTTATTGATTTTTGACGGATATTTTTGCATTTATCTTTTTTTTTAAGGTACTTATTTACTTTAAAAATCAAAAGACTGTCGATAAAATTTCATTTTATTCGATTTTTGTTAGTAAAATAAAAATTTTTCCAAACTAAAAATTGAAGTTTTTGATTCTATTCGATTATCGAGGTTCTACTGAAAACGTTTTTTTTTTTTTTTGGTAACAATTTTAATATCATAAGGAGTTGATTTCTTTTAAACTAATTTATTATACAGAGTGGGAAATAATCAACAGATCGACAGCTTTTTCAGGCGAGTTTCCAAAAATTTTGGGTTTTAGTTTTGTGGGATTTTTTTTTTTTTTTTTTTTTTTTTTTTTTTGAATTCAGAGAAAGGGAGTTCAGTCACCGAGCATGGATCGCGTTTGGATGGCTCTCTTTTGGTGCAGAGAAGAAGCGACGACTGGGCGTAACCGATGCCGGGTGTTTTGCTGGCGCGTCGCGTCCGTCGTGTAAAAAGTCAGTCGCGAAATTGGAATCCAGCCAAGCGATTGCGGAATCGCAAGCCTCTGCCTTCACCTTTGCCCTGTTCCCTTGTCGCCTTCTCTTTCGCACCCCTTCATATATGTATATATATATATTTACCATTTGACATTGCTCTCAAATGCCATCTCACCCGCACACCAAACCAAATTCTCTCTTTCTCTCTCTCACCTCAAGCTCTCACGGATGCAGGGAAAAAAAGGCATTTTAAATTTATGAGCTTCAAATGAAGCTGAATTTGAGCTTAATTGCTCTTTTCAATATTTTAATCAAATTCATTTCAAGATTTTCTCATCTCTAGCATTTTAATGCACTTTACTCGAGATTTTATATATCGTATATATGAGAAAAGAAAATATTTTTCCCTCGAATAATTCGAAATAAATAAAAAAAGGAGAAAAAAAAATGAGTACGTATTTTTTAAATTTAAAAATAATTCTTTCTTTAAATTGCACTGAAAAAATTATTTCAGGGTTGCCACGCTTTTGCTCTTTTGAAATTCCCTGATTTTTCCAGATTTTCCTGGGTAGAAAATAAAATTTTTCCAGGTTTTTAAAACTACACTTATTATTTACCAAATTAAATCACATAATTTGGTAAATGTTTAACAAATTTACATTTATTTTTAAGAATTTCTGTAATTGTAAAATTAATCGAAAACAACAATAATTATTATTTCTCCACAGAAATTAAAATTTTGAAAAATTTCACATTCAAACCTTTTGAAATACAATAACTTAAAAAAATATTATAAAACATGAAGAAAGCGTTCACTCCGAGTCGAAGACTCGGAGTAAACGCTTTCTTCATGTTTTATAATAATTAAAGATGACCGAGTGATAAAATAATTATTTTATATTATAAGAATTATTCGGAAATTCTGCAATTAAATATAAATTAGAAAATAAAAACTTGAAACAATTTCAAAAGAAATCCATTAAACTTTTTCAAAAAAAATTAATTCTACACAATTGTTAGTTAAAAGTATGAAAAATTCAGATTTTCAAAAATTTTAATTTGAAAATTCAACGAAAATTAAATTATTTAAATTCAAAAATAAATAATTTATTAAATTCTCATAAAAAATTTTATCAACAAATTTTTAAATAATTAAATTCTTTTGACGAAATAAAATAAAATTTTTAAGAATAATTACATTTTTCGAAGAAATTAGATTGAAATTTTATTAAAAAGTAATTGAAATTCGATGAGTTTTATTTATGAAAATAATTGATTTCATAAAAAGAATTTTATTATTTATGAAAATAATTAAATTTCTAAAAAGAATTTAATTATTCATGAAGATAATTGAATTCTTGACTAGAATTTTTATTAAAATTTTCGAAAATAATTTAATTCTTTAGAGGAATTTTAATAAAATTATAAATAATTGCATTTTTTGAGAAATTTATATCAATTATTATTTAAAATTTTAACTGAAAGTCATTTTTAAATAAATTT